TTCTGGAGAGGCAAGCAAGGAAGGGGTCATCCCACACACACTAAAAAACAGACATAGCCCCACTCCACAAAGGTGGCGTAAAGCAATTGCATAAGAACTACAGCCCTATGCACTAAATCCCATTCTCATAAACATCTTTGAGAGTAGTTCTAAGAAGCAAGACGCCAACACTTCGTACCCATTCATTACACACCCAGGGCCAACATGGTTTCGCGGCAGGTGTCCCAGTATGGACCCCTATGCCAAGGTTCGGAAACTGTAGTGGATAAACAAAATTCAGATGTAGTAAACACCGGACTTTTGCACAAGTTTTCGGAAGTGTGACCAAGGTGTAACAGCACACAAAATGTGGGATAAGGAATAACAGGAAAAGTTGGTAGATGGATTTCAACTACCTGACAAATAGAAACCCAAAGGTCATATAAAACCGAGTAACGTCAAGGCAGCCCTGGTAAAAAAGCTCTGTTCAAAGGCGCAGCACACAGTGCACAATGCGAGGAAAAAAAAAACTCTGAGTTTTTGGGATTAAAAATGCCGACTTTGAGGTGCATTTTCTATAGTATTTATGGTTGTATTCTGTTTCTTGGTACAGATTTAAGTCCATATAAAACTCTTGCACTCATTCTTTTTAATCTTTAATTCATCCGTGATTTTTGTTACTTTTGAGGCCTATTTTAATCTCCAGTCAAACAAACATTCTTAGCTATATCACTAGTCTTGCCTTCTGTTCTATTGATTATGCACACGGAAATCACCATTCAACTACGTATTTACAACTACCCCTACAACGTGCACCAGCAGTCGGTAATTTGGCCACTTTTACACACCTTAAAAAATGCCAATTTAAAAAATAGTCCAAAATCACCAATGTACACATTCTTAGCCCCTAAACGATATTTCCTCTTGATTATTAGTAATGTTTCCCCAGGCCTCCTATATTAACATCTTCCATTTTGAATTCATATCACACAAAAATAAAAGATTTCTCTGTTTTTCCGGAGAAACTAAAGTATCACCGGGGAGAATGATTGGGAGGCCTTACCTGTCTTAGGAAAATTCAATTTAACCCGGGAATGATTGGGAGGCCTTACTGACCTACTTCGGCAAATAGCCAAAAATAAATATATTTTCACTACTCTCGCCTAATTTAGTCTACTTTGGTCTGAAACCAACAGACACTTTTTTTTTTTTGGAGTATGTCTTCCATTCTCCTTAATGATACAAGAACAGTCATAAACCATAAAAGTCATCCTAGAAAAAACCCCTTAAGGTAATTTTTTTACCAAACGCAAGGTCAGCGTTGTGCATTCCCATATTTAAATGCATTGGGGCATGCTTTTTTTTTTTCTGTAACACTCACCGTGCAGACATACATACTCTCATATTTAAGGGGTTTTTTAACCAAATTGACTGCCAAAGTTATCTGAGTGAAGCTGAGCTCCTGCTGTAGAACTACAGGAGACAGTACCCTGCCTCGTGATTGTACTGTAGTTCAATGTGTTTACTTGGAAATTTCATTTCTTGCATTCTTATAATTTTTACATGCATATCTCTTACAGCAGATTTGGCTGAAAAACAAAATGGCTACAAGGAAATGCTAAATATTTCACAAGCAACTCCAAGAAGAAACAGAACACTATTATTCGCTGGAAAAGCCTCCCAGAGGTAAGACCGTTGTGCTTAAGTTTACAGAGGTTGTTTTTTTTTTTAGATAAGCAGATTATAGATATCTGTATAGGCAATTCAGCAAGGACTTTCACCTTGGAGCTATATGTTTCTTATATTTTGCAGATCAAAACAAAACATTTGGCGCGGAACTTTCAGGGTTCTCCATAACATCTTGACGTTCAACGACGTGACCCTGATGGATCTCCCCCCCTTCATTCAGAGCAATTGTCACAAAGTTTGCCTCAAAGTGCGTCACGAACGGGCTAGTCAGTGCAAGTAAGATTATTTTGGATGGGTTTAATTCAATCTTTGATGCATGACAATTCTTTAGGCATAGTTAAGAGCACACATGTTATGAGAACATGTGTAGAGGGGGAACATATTGAAGGGATTCAGGAACCGAATTAGCTGGAACTTTAGTACTGGAGGGTGAGAAGATCAGTGCTGCACTCTGAAGGAGGGAGGGGTGGGATTTGCAGTTTAGAGGTGCATATATTAGATCATACAGTATTTTATTCTTTGAAAGATGCTTTTTTTTTTTTTTTTTTTAACACACTGGCTGCCTCCCACTGAGGCAGGGTGTCCCAAAAAGATATCTCGCCCATATTACTCATCAGTCTTGCCAGAGGTGCCCTGATGTACAATCCTTATGCCCCTCTAATGATAATACAGTATATGTTATCTCCATAAATCATGTATACAGTATGGTGTTCCAGACTTGTATAAATTTGAAAAGCAGTCTGGGCTGCAGGGGAAGAGTGAGAAAGAAACGAAAACACCTGTCATTTGTCTATATCTCCTAATATCATTTGCCCTTCATCCACCGCACATTCAGATTCCCCCTTTGACAATTTTCTTCTTCTTATTCTTTTTAGTAATCTTTACAGGGAGGAAAAGGGGTTACTAGCCCTTGTTCCGCCTTTTAGTTGACTTTTTACAAACACGATGGCTTACGGGAGAAAAGATTCTTTTCCACTTCCCCATGGATATACAAGGTAAAGTAATAAGACCAAGAACTATTAGATAAGATCAAAGAAAACTCGATGAGGTGTGTTATAACTAAACGTGTACATGTATGAGTAGTGGACCAAAATTGTAATTAGAAGTAGCAAGGTACCTGTAATCTTGCATATTTATGAGACAGCACAACAGACACAGCAAATCCTACCATCATGTTAAAACAATTACCAGGCTTAGTTTTACACATTGGCCAGGACGGTAGTACCTCCCTGGGTGGTGCTGTCGTACCTCGAAAGGGTTGGAAGAGGGGGGTTCAAAGGAGGTTTTGTGGGTGAGGGGCTTGGATTCCAGCAAGCGTGCATTGAGCGTGTTAGAGATAGGAGTGAATGGAGACGACATGATACTTGGGACCTGACGATTGTTGAGTGTGAGCGGGTAATTTAGTGAAGGATTTAGGGCAACCGGTTATTTTCATATGGAGGGACTAGCGTCCTGGACATGGGAAGTACACTGCCTGCACTTTAAACGGAGGGGTTTGGGATATTGGCAGTTTGGAGGGGATATGTTGTGTCTCTTCTATACGTATCGGCTTCTAAACTGTTGTATTCTGAGCACCTCTGCAAAAGCAGTGATCATGGTGAGTGTTGGTGAAAGTGTTGAATGATGATGAATAGTATTTTTTCTTTTTGGGGATTTCTTTCTTTTTTTTTGGGTCACCCTGCCGCGGTGGGAGACGGGCCGACTGGTTGAAAAAAAAAACAAAAAAAATATCTAATAACAAAAAAAATTCACAATTCATATGAATGTATACCTGGCGTTACTGGAGAGAGTTCCAGGGGTCAACGCCCCCACGGCCCGGTCTGTGACCAGGCCTCCTGGTGGATCAGAGCTGATCAACCAGGCTGTTACTGCTGGCTACATGCAAATCCAACGTACGAGCCACAGCCGGCTGGTCAGGTACCCAACTTTAGGTTGCTTGTCCAGTTGCTGCTGAAGACAGCCAGGGGTTGTTGGTAATCCCCCTTATGTATGCTGGGAGGCCGTTGCAAGTCTGGACCCCCTGCCATTATTGTATGACTCTTATCACGTCTAGTGACACCCCGGCTTTTCATTGGGGAATGTTGCATTGTCTGCGAGTTTTTGTTTCAGTGTGAAGTGATTTCGTGTGCCATTCGGTACTAGTCCCTCTAGGATTTTCCAGTTGTATATAATCAAGTATCTCTTCCAGCTGCGTTCCAGGGACGTACAGGTTTCAGGGAACTTCACGCTCTCCCAGGAATTGAGGCGTTTCTCTCCGTTATGCGCGCCATGAAGGTTCTCTGTACATTTTCTACGGTCAGCAATTCACCTGCCTTGAAAGGTGCTGTTTGGTGCAGCCACTATTCCAGCCTAGATAGAACAACGCCGACCTGAAGAGTGTCATCATGGGCTTGGCATCCCTAGGTTTGAAGGTATTCCATTATCCATCTGTCTCATTTTTCTAGCCGATGCGATTGATACAATGTCCAGTACATCTGCTAAATTATTGTGGTTATAATCAATACAGATCAGTTTACATATTTCACCTTTCATTTTCCAACTGATACTGGATATACTGTGTACTGGCACTGCGTGAAGCTTGCCTCTCTGTTTCTGTGTAATTTGTGATTTATTTTTACCTAGGATGGTTAATAGTTTTGCATAAGGGTTAAGTTGCAATGAATCTGGGATACAACAGCTCATTATGCTGGGGAAAATAAGAGATACAAAAATAAGTCATTCCCAATGGGGAAGTGGGAAACATAATTTTTCTTCTGTAGTCATGGTGGTTGGTAACAGGCGACTAAAAATGCGGGAGAAGGGGTCTAGAAACCCACACGGTATAAAATACTAAATTTAAAGCGAAATATTCATATTTTCTTTTTGGGTCACTTACCTCGGTATGATACTGCCGGTTTCGTTGCAAGGAAGAAAACTAGTATTGGAAAGGTATAGGTATCAAAGACATTACAGGTTTTGTCATACGCAGGTACTGTCACGCATATCAAATCAGCAAGTTAGACCAGGTAGGAAAATGACTATGATAGACTTTCTATTGGTATTACTTGCAAAGTTCTAGTGTGGTTTTATGTACTGTTTAAATAACAAAATCATCAATTTTATTCTGGCACTTACTGAAATTAAAATAATGCTTTAGTCACCCATTTTTTCAGGGTAATCCCACCTCCGTAAATTTTCCTGGTTTACCAAGAAACAGTATGAACAGATACTTGAACTACTGTGCATTTTTCAGCAGCAAAAAAGCACTTTTTTTTGTAACCATAAGGAAATTCTAAATAAAACTTCAGCCATGCCCATGCTGTTTGTGTTCCATCAAAATAGTTTCTAGTATTACTTCCCAAGGTAGGATACTCAGTAAGAGCAGCTTTTCAATATTACCCATTGGTCTTTATCTTTGTTTCAGATAGCTTAGGTTCATTAACACAACATTTCAGTCGCATCTTCATTAATAATTTATGCATATTCCATTGTACTTGCCCAGGCTGCAGATTGCTTATATTCCCTGTGTTGTGTACAATAAAAGTTTATTTAGAAAGAAAATGCATATCTCCATGTTATTCTTTTGTTTCAATATATTAAAGGTCAAGATTAGTACAAACCTCCTGCGTATGTCATAACTAGTTATATACTAGACAGATATTTCTGAGTACCTACACTATGTTCATTATTTATTCATCCCAGGCCACTCCCAGTTGATATCTTAAGCCTTCTTTGGTTTGATGACAAGTGCATCGGGGGGGGGGCGGCAAACAACATTGATTTCTTCGTAGCATCAGAAATAGGTTTATCAGGGGAGTTATTCAAATTGTTGGACTATTTTACTACTACTAGAAATTTGTTTTTTGCTTATGGACTTCTTTTTTCAGTTATGCCACAAATTTGTGTATGATTTTGAGTCCGGCTAAAATCATACTGTTGCCGTGTCGCCGTGATTCTTTCATGTTTTTCACGGTTTTCTTGCGTACAGAACTTTATACTGTGCCACGTGAACTTATAAGCTATATCCCTCCAGTGCTTGGAAATTAATCTTTTTGCCAGAAATCACATAATATCTACTGAGACAAAAAGGAGAATCAGTATACAATAACACTACTCTCATTTTATTATTAAAGATTCGCGGTATTCTCCCGGCCCGGGCCTTTCAAGTGGTGACCGGCCTTGGCTCCCTCTTGGGGAGTGTCTGAGACCTACGTCTCCCATGCGGAGGAGGCACAAGTACCTCTCATCTTTGGGACCAACTGTCCAGGCTAGCCACACGTAGGCCTCTCTGTCAGCCATCCCCGCCCCCAAGAGGGTAATGGGAATGGACCGTCTTATGAGCTCAAGGTCGGGTCAGGCACCTACCCTACCCTCGAAGGGTAGGCATTGGTGTGCTGGTATTGATGACAATACTCTCTGAGAGAACTTAGCTTGCTTGCCGGTGGATATAAATATAGAACTTTTTGGTCAGAGGAAAGACAGTTCCTGATAATAGTGAGTATACCTAGGGTTATTGTGTGTACACCAGTGGTTACCCTTGTATGTTATGGTAATAAATAAGGTGAAGTGTAAAACTGAGTGTTAGGCCCCAAGACTAGGTTCCTGTTTGTGACAGTTGCTAGCAGTCGCCAGACCCTCCCACACAGGTCTGCTAGTGTACCTGACGTATAATTAGTGATTTCAGGGAATAAATACATTCCTGTTGAAATAGGAAGAGGTGACCAAATCTTGAGGGATACGGAAAAGTGTATCGTTTTGTAGAAAATTGATAAACAGTGTATTTTTAAAAGGGGGTTTGTTTGTACTTTGTGATGGAGAGGGCCGTATACATGTGTGGTCAACTGTAATTAGCAGTGGTGCTATATACACGAAAATCATTATTCTCCATGCAACTATTATCCCTTATCTTTACATATGGAAGTTGTGCATGGGGATCAACAACATCCAATCACCTAATAAACCCTCAATCATCAAAAGGCAGCAGTAGAATGATAACAAATTCCCACTCCCGCAGTATACTCACAATTTTCAAAAGTTGATCTGCTTTCCAGTAAGACAACATCCATACATTCTGTGCCTACTACAGACACAGAACAATAACGCAAATATAAAACCTACACCAACTTTTTCTCACCAACCTAAACAGGACACATATCCACAACACAGACTCAGATCTTCTTTCTGAAATACCTCGTGTCCTTAATCCACATGTGTAAAAACTCTATGCACATAAAGGGCCCCAAAATATGGAATGCATTACCAGAAGATATTAAAAGTAACAAGTCATGAAAATAAACTTTAGACGCTTATCAAAATCCACTTATCACCCCAGACTAAATGCTAATACTCAGTACCACATTTTACTCAGCTATGTACTCCACATCATAATGAAACAATCACATTGAACCTTTTATCCATTGTTGACAGGATTATAATGGAATCATTGTTTTTTCACAAAAGCATTTTAGATTATATTTATATCTTTTGTATTATACAATTTTTGATTTATTTGGTTATAATTAATATTCTACTGTGCTCTTGGGAGATTCTGAAGAGATGCTGCAGAGATTGGTGGATGATTTGGTCGGGTGTGCAAAAGAAGAAAATATTAACGTGAATCAGGAATGAGTAAGGTTATGAGGAATTAAACCCAAAAGAATGGTGATGAATGAATGTATCTCAGATTGGAGGGAGGAGTATGGCGGAGGTGAACGTATTCAGCTATTTGGGAGTGGACGTGTCAGCGGATGGGATATGACAAGATGATGTGTCTCATAGAATTGATGAGGGAAACAAGATGAGTGGTGCACTTAGGCGTCTGTGGAGACAACGAACTTTGACTTGGAGGCAAAAGCGGGGAATGTTCTGAGCGTTTAGTTTTACCCCCGTCTTTTAAGGGTGTGAAGCGTGGGTGATGAATGTTGCAGCGAGGAGAAGGTGGCAGGCAGCAGTGGAGATGTTCAGTCTGAGGGAAAGGTGTGGTGTGAATCTAATGCCGACGCATTCGTAGTGTTTGACGTTAGGAGGAGGTGCGGGATTACAAAAACTGTTGTCCAGAGGGTGAGGACGGGTTGTGAGGTGGTTCCGGACATGTAGAGCGACTGGAGCGGCAACAGTTGACTTCAAGAGAGTACTAGTCTGTAGTGGAAAGGAGGCGGGGTAGGGGTCTCGGCCTAGGCAGGGTTGGGCGGGAGGGGGGTAAAGGAGGTTTTGTGTGCGCGGAGGCTAGGACTTCAAGCAGGCATGCGGTGAGGCTTGTTTGATTAGAGTGACTGGCGACAAAAGGTTATCAATCCTTGAGTGTGTTGGGGTGTGGCAAAGTAAACATTTATTGAGGGTTCGGGAAACCGGCAGGCCGGACTTGAGTCTGGAGAGCGATGGGACACGTACTCTGCCTGATTGACGGCGGGTGTTATGTTGCCGTTTTTAAAAAAAGCAGTGTAAAAGCACCTTCTGGCAGACCCGTGCTGGAGGACTGATGGTGCAAAGTTTTTCTTTTTCGGGCCCCCCCACCCTGCTTGGTGGAATCGGCCAGTGTGATATAAAAAAAAATAACTATGGACATAATTGCTTACCTACTGTAAACATGATATTATCCTTTAGTATTACGTAGAATGTATACAGCCAATCATGTAAGTTTGGCCCTTACTGCAAGGATCATCGAGGCTCTTTTGCATTGCCACCCACTATTGTTATCACCCATTAATGGTACTAGTTTGCAAAGAATTAAATAATAAACTAAATACACATACCTCTATATTTCTGAAGCCAATCAGGCCATACCTGGAAGTTATACTTTTGTATCAAATGAAAATAATCACTGTTTAATTTTTTTCCAGTAGTCTTTTCATGAGTAGTCCAAAACTACCAGTGAGCCTAATGGATCTGCCGCGATCCATCAAGGACGGATTCACACGGATTCATTGACACATGTATCCTCTTGACTGGTTTCACTAATGATGGGGCTCAAACGCCCTGTCACAACCTCCAACAGCAACTACACCAAATCGTTACACTACCGATAGACAGATCTATGTTAACCTTTGCCTGACTCGGCCAAATTATATTACGCGGTATGTGTTAGACGTAGTATACTCATAAATTCTAGCGGCTTCAACTCAAGCGGAGAAAGCTGGTTAGGCCTACATGTGTGCGACTGAGTCTGTTGTGGGACCAGTGTGCAGATATAAAAAAAACACTCTGGATGCCACGCAGTGCCTCCTGCAGAACAACCAAACCTGACCGATTTTTTTTAATTAAACATGCCGCACTTTGTGGCTCTTATGTATAGTATTTATGGTATGTATTCTCGTTTTCTGTCTCATTGATAGCATGGAAACCATTACCGCAAATAGAGGAGACTTTTTGATGATTTTTACTATACACAAGAACTAGAAATGGAGCTCAATTGGGCGAAATGTTTGTTTATGCACTGTTCCCCGTAGCACATGCTTGCCATTTTCCGTAAATGTCCGGTAGCCATTCTAATATGCAGTCATTATTTGGAAAAGGGTTTGTGTTATTTATACTTTATTTCCAGTCTTGCAGTACGTCTGATATGTAAGTCTTCAATTTTTGTTTGGAATAAAACTTCACACAATAGAAAGCACGAGTATTATAGAGGGGCTGGGAAACCACGCCTGCATGAGCCACGAACCTGTTAATTTAGAGCCAGGGAATGTCTGCATTGTTCATTCTGGACCTTATTTGAAACATGATCTTTTTTAGTATTGGTGCCCATTGGCCCAATTGCAAATTTTGACCCAATTATTAGGTAGTGGAATCGGTCAATGGGCCCGTTCTTTGTATCACTCCGATAGAAAAACTGGAGTTCTCCCGACATAGTCGCGTTTGGGGACTGACACAATGGCATTCGCCAAAAATCGGGATCCAAGTGGCAGCGAATCGCGATTTGTAAAACAGCGCCGAGGTCGTAACTTGCGACCGCATAAATTCCGTCAGTTTTCCATCAAATTTCGTTTTTTTTGGTGTTCATTACAATCGGGCAAAAGATCTCTATCATTTCATAAGAAACAAATTTTTTTTTTTTTTTTTATAAATTTTGCGACACGGCGACACCTAGGATTGGGGTTTGCGACAGTCCAAGGGTTACGGCTGCTTATTAGTGCTATCCAAACTGGATACCTTTTAGTTTTCGTGGATTGGGCGGCATTCCACTGGATTTTGCTGGGATTCGGGGGATTCCAAACCTCTGTTTGTTGGATCTACAGCCAGATTCGGGTGAAATTCCTGGTTTCGTTGGAAATAATCCAAAATCGGAAGGACCTGTTAAAAAAATTAAATAATCGGAGAAAATCGACTAGTAGCTGGCGGATGTCTAGTGTTGTAAGTTGACACGCCCT